TTTACCTAATGTATTTATAAGTATTGTAAGGAGTTTATTTAGAGAGTATGAGTTGTAATAATGCATGATTGATGATGTCACTGGGAGAGTACAGACAACAGGTATGGATTATAGTGATACATCATTTGATGTCACACACTCTCATTAATTGTTATAATAAAGGCATTCATAACGAACACACCAAGAACTTATTTTCCTTAAGATTTTCATTTGTATATCATTTATTAAAGGGCAACTTCTTTGTAACTCCTTATAACTTTTTTCCCTTACAAGATAGCAATTTAAAATTTTGAATGCAACCACAAAAGGCATGGTTCTATAATTGCAATAAAAATCAGAGACATCATGCAACTGTATTGGTAACAATATAGGCAGTTCAAATAGTTGACCTGCCTGCTGACCTATATGGTCCCCAACTCTATAAAAACAGTTTTAATAATCCATAAAAAAGTTGGAGACATGCATGGAGACAATACAATATTCTATAATAGATTTAGTATAAAAATAACATATGCTAAAATAACTACTAGTATTAAAAACTCTAAATTAAAATCATTAATTGCAAAATCATCATTCATAATAGTTCTAACTCATTTCACAGACAGTTCAAACTGAAGTGCACCCTCCAGAGCTGTTGTCAATTTTTCCCTCAAGAAATTAGCAGCAAATTCTATTGGTCCCCCAACACTAGACAGAGCCTCTAGATATTTCACACAATGCTTCTCTAGGTCAGACTTAGAGTCCAATAGATTCATTATAGCTAGGAAACTTGAGGCTATGGCATCATAAGTTGGTGACTTCTGAACCTGTCGGGTAATTATTTTAGCTTCAAATAGTTTGTTAGCAATTTCTTTAAGAGAACTCTCCAAAATATCCGCAAAATCAGAGTGATTCTCATTCATAACTTGTTTGATCTTTTGTTTAGCTGTTTTAATATCAAAGCCTACAATAACAAGTCAATAGTTAGTCATAACATGTTGTGTTCATGTACCTCCTTCTCTTCTTTTTTTAGTTGGTACTGGAATAGTTTCATCACTGCCACTACTGCTAGGAGCAACTAAAGAATAGACATCATAAAGTAACACATACACATACATATACAGTATTCTTACTGGCTCCTCCAGTGGATAGTGCAGTTGGTTCATGTACTACATTAGAAGAGGAGGAGGTGGTAGTAGAATCTGATTAATATTAAATAAATAAATCATTTGTATCTACATGTACATGTATTACTTGTTGAAGGAGGAACAGGAACAGTAAAATTTCTTCGTGCTCTATGAATGTTTAATGCAACTGGATGAGCCACACCTTCCAGTGGTATGAAGTAATTAAGAAAAGGGACAGCATCAGGTGAT